TTTGAAAAGAGGCAACGGAAATGTGGAAGCATGAATAGAGCCACATGCCATCGAACAATGAGCCTTTTCGCTGTGTAAAAAAGCGTGCACAGCACGCAGGGCCACAAACCGAGAATTTGCGGTTTGGCAGGTGGCCTTTGTGGCCAAGCGAGGCTGGAATTCTCAGAGTCAGCTTTCAGAAAAAAAACCCCCAGCGTCAAGGGGTTAAGCGAGTCCTGTAATTACAGTTGGTACTAACACAGAGGCTCAGACTACATGTAGTCCATGGAGGTGGAGCATGTGTGGATGCCTTAAAAAGCTGTTAGCCACAGGAAGTTGTGGCAAATGTCACCCAGCGACTTTGTCTTGGGGTGTCAAAAGATCGACTCTAAACGGTATTAAAGACATGTCGCACGAGTTTGAACAAATGACCACCTAGGGTCAGCATCTGCGAAGTTGAACTTTGCAAAGGACCGTGGTTGTGATGTTTAGCTTTTAAAGTCAGTGTTTTAAATGGACTGCACCAGGGCATACTCTACCCTATCACAAAATTTCTGACATCTGTATTCACTGGAATTTGCATTTTCTCTCCTGCATCCACTCCGTGTAGGAAAAGGTCATTGTTGTTAAAACTGTGGAGATGGTTTTCGTGATCACAAATTCAAGTCATGGGTCGAAAGCATGGGTTTGGTGAGCACTTGTGTTCGAAAACATGTTTTATTTTTTTATTACTTTCGCCAGGTCAGACAGGAGACGGAAGGACTCATCTGAATGCAAAGTTTGGCTACTGACATCGTTTGGTTCCTTGTCTTCTAAAGCACCATACTTCATGGCAAAAGCACACTGCTCGGAACTGGTCTGGCCCTTGCAAACATCGTCCATGGAAATCATGTGGGACTACTACCTTGCCTCAGCAGAAAATGAAAACAAATCTTCGTACACACCATTTACAATGTAAAAAAAAACTGGTCATCGCACTTGGTAGAATGCGTTCTGTAAAATCTGATTCTAAGTTTACCAACGAGCTGTTCTAACCAAGTTAAAGAAAACCATCAGAACAAATGAGAAATTTTCCAGGATATTTTGGCTTCTTCACGAGTCCATTAAGGCTCTGTAGATTCCGATAAGTATATATGACAATAAGTTTTTATTTTCAACCTTTCAGACACATTCATGTACAAACTTAGAAGACAAGCCATTAAAAAAATTGACATAAATGTTGAGGTGTCATTGACTTTTCTATTTCCCACTTATTTCATATGTATTTGAAATAAAAGCCAATAATTCATTAAATCAAAAGTACAGCTCTCTTGGTGACACTTCTTTCCGAGGAAAAGCGATTTTACTGCATCTCAACTGCAACTTCTTTGTTCTTCACATGCTTTTTTACCCTTTTTTTGGGTTCACTGTGAGTGATCAGCGTGTACTGATTAATGGTTTGCAACAGTGCTGATGTTGCACATGCTACAGACTTTGGGTGTGAGCCCTAGGCTTCACGCCATATGAGTGTATAACTTCTGAGTAGCATCCCTGAACTAAGATATTGACAGATGGGGGAAACCGCCTGCACGGGGCTTGAAAGCTCAGCTGGTAGACCACTTCAACGGTGTTCTGGGGGGTCATACGTTCAAATCCTGCTCTAATGACTTTCTTTTTCCAACTCGGTTTCCCTATTTAGGTTTAACTCAAATTTGACACAAATATGCTCAAAATAGACAATTACAAACAACAGCGCAACTGACAAGTACAACACACCAACAAAAAGTTGATACTTTTGTTTTTCAGAATTCCTGAACTTGTGGGATTGGAGAGTCAGATCTCCAATACATCATTTATTATTCGTAATTCTGTCTTATAACAAGAGGTATAATGTACAGAACAGAATATCGATCCTCTCCAAATTAAAAAAGAAAAAAAAAAAAGAAGCATGCAGTGGACCATGAGACTACAGGTAGAAGAGGTTTATCTGACACTTACACAGCAAGCTCATCTAACGGGATGCTTATATCTCTGCCGTCTTAAATCCATACAGAAGGGAGGAATCCCACAAAACACTTCCTGATAACAGCAGTGTATTCCCCAGAAGGGTTACTGTTGGAACTTGTGTCAATTTCACAAAATCGAATACAAGTATGTACTATAAAACATTTAAAATGAGAAACCACAGCATGACGTTTCCGTCAAGTTGGAGAAAAAAGACTGCCCTGCCTGTATGGGTTTAAGGTGCATCTTCACTATGCTGTGATTGGTTACGATGGACGAGTGAAGCAACGTGATTGGCCAGCTGCAGGCTACTTCCTTTACATAGTGACAACTCAAATCTCTAACACACTTAACTTACATAATTTATCAGTTCGTTTAATATATCAATCATTTATCAATTTTACATGTGTTTTACTCAAAGGAGCCAGCCCAACATCCAGTAGACAATGAAACAATGATACAATGCAATGATAAAAAAAAACGGATGAAATCTAATCGACTTCCCTCTTCTTTTTTCAACTAAGAATATGTGCAACCATTTCAGCTTTTTGTTAATTTTTTTCCTCTTTTTTTTATGTAATGCACAGACATTTACACATTTACAGATTTCATTGATGAAAACCATTCTACTGAGGCCAATTTTTTTTATCATAACAAAGAAAGCAAATCAAAATAATGATCACAGATGTGCAATGTATTTGTTAAAACTTCAACTCCACCAAGTTTGACTCCATTCTCTTTGATAGTTTTTGTATAAAACATGTATTTAGTAAGCCTAAGTAGTTCTACTATTCGTCTCTGTCATCTCAATAAAACTATTATTTGAAGTGGAGTTCCATACTGCTATATACTCAGCATTTAATGTAATTTATTTACAAGTAAATCCATTTACGGACAGCTCTACCTGCATCAGTTCATCTGGTACAAATATCAAGTGAGTCGTTGATATTGATCAGTCTAACTGAAGACCACCCACCATGAATAAAGTGAAGCAGTTGCGGATTGTCTAGCCCCGAACAAAGCTAGCCACTTGTCACATCCAGATTTCAGGACAGGGCATCAGTACCGGATGCTTCCATTTATATCAGCTGAAGCATTTGTCCGGTCTTGTCCCCCCATTTCTTGAATGGATTTCTACCTTGTCACATACAGCAGACACACGTTGCAAACACCACACTTCCAACAAATGTAGATGAATTTGCACCGTTTTCTTTCATATGCACTAACGAGGGAAAACGCACTTCCCGTTTTGGGGCTCTGGCAATAACGGAGCAAAATTCCAAAGACTTTCTCAGATAGGAAAGGGCATGATCGTGAAAAGTGCTGGGTGGTCAGCCCACTAATTTCTCATTACTACAATGCAATTGCAACCATGTAAAAATGGAAATTAAAACATTGGTCACACACAATCTTTAGAAATCACCCGAATAATGGGAAAGAGGTGATACAAAAGAACACGTGTCAAGGGTCAAGTGGACATCAAAAAAGCTACTTTTTTTTAATTCGATTTTTTTTACAATTAGTAACAAGCGGAGGAAATCCGAAGTTGTGTCTTTCACTAGCAGGCAAGAGGTACTCTGTTGAAGACTATGACCAACAAGTGTACTATCACGAGTGCCACCGACAGTATGGTAGGGTATGAAAAAATGTAAGCTGTCAATGAAGCACATTCTCAGTATCTTGCTATGCTTCAAGGGTGTTGGGAACCTGTCAAATAATGGTAAGGGATCAGACTCGAGTACACACTCTCTCACACAAACAACCCTACAGAACACACACACAAATTGCTCAGGGTTTGTTAGAAAGCAACCGAGTGTATAAAAAAGTGGCCGACTGCGGACCAATCTGATGAACCCTAAAGTATTGGCAACATTCAAATTTGGTATCCTCACAACAATACAATATTACAAAACACCAAAGTTATTTTCTTTCTTTTTCGTTTTAAAGTTTTCATTTTTAACATCTGCTGTTAAATATTACATAAACATGTACACAACTTTCTCATAAGTATTGCCCCCAGACATCATATACAATTTACAACATGAATCGAATCATCCAGTGCATAATGTTGATCTGAATAGAATTTCAAGTCAGTTCACAAATTCACCAACTTGAAACCAAAATCAAACTTTTAGGAGAGGGGAGACTCTTGTGTACGTGTACAATGAATAGATTACGGCTTGAACAGTTGCCAACAAAGCTCTGGTAGGGATTTGTGAGGCACAATTCACAGCCCTGGCTGCTGTGAATACACTGCAGGTTTCCTCTTTCCTTTCTCAATCAAACCATTGACAACACTGATCTTACGGAGCAAGTGATCGACTATATAAGTGCAAATATGCCTTGGCGACACAATCAAAGAAAAAGTACACACTGTCCTGAATAAGACACGATGTTAAGTTTTCCACTTTCTGACCATGCATATTCCAGAAATAATTTGCTTTTCTTCCAAACCTCTTGAAAAAAATCAGGCTGTGTATCTGTGGTGTGGTGCCTGCACAACCCGGCAGTGCAGGTGTAAGGATCTGCAACATGATCTTCTTTGCCATGTACAAAGTACACACATGTATATTACAAGGAAAAACCCCAGTACCCTTGTCTCAACCGCTGCACCATCTGCTGAAAATTTGAAGGACTTTCAATTTTCAAACATTTTGGGGAAAAATGTGTATATTCTAACCGTTTACTGAATACCTCAACTTCTACAAGCATAAAAAGAACTGTTTAAAAGAACAATGAAGACAATATACAGGTACATGTCCACCCTTCCTTCTCACAACCAGGTTATATCCACACCTCACCATTTCAAGGTGTGACATACTTTTAAATTTTTACTAATGCCTCCAATCAGGAGAAGTGTTTTCATGTTTTATGATGAAAGTGCTTGTCGGTCTAATGTGTTTAAACCAAGTCCTCTGGTTAGGTATTTTGATTACTTTGTACAGCGTAAGTACATAGGATCCAAAACAAACTGAGTGATATACTCCACACTCATACGCTCACCCAAACACTCGCTCATTTTACTCACACACTTTTTAGCATACCATTTTTTCACCAATCGCACATACAAACATCTGACTATTCTATTGCCTCGTTCACAAATTAAACATCATTCTGCGACTGTGTTCAGTGTTCCTGCTTGCATCACTTACATGTAATCTGTCTCATCTCCCAAAACACGTCAAACATGTCCCAGGGAGAGGGGATGGGCAGGGGGATACAAAGTTGCCTTGTTTATTTCAGTCACACAATGACGTCTGTAAAATGACTTCAAGAAATATGACAAAAAGAGGGAAATTGTGTGTCAACTCTAGTTCTCCTTAGGAAATAAGCTCTATACTACACCTGCACTCATGAATACACACACGCAGGGAGAAACTAAAGCATAGCAGTGGCAACCACAACGTTTCCTCAAGGCAACCCCAAAGTGACCTGGATTCAACGCCATGTTGACCGCATGGCAATTCTGCACAACCCTAGGAACTTAAAGGTAATCTAGGGGCAATTGCTGGGTATAATTTTTTTTTCACAAAAGCAACGCAGAGTTTATCTCTGATCTGTTAAACAAAGGAGGTACTTCTTATCAGAAATTTGCTCAGGGATACAGAATGTTTCTCTCTTTTTAAAAATCCCATAAGATGCAAGCATCACACACACGAAAACACTTTGGCAGTCAACTGCTTAACTATGATGTGATTTGCCTGAGCTGAGCTAAGTCGAGCTGAGCCTAGTCTTGCTGAGGGGCCGGGCTGGCTTGACAGTGGAAGGGTGCACAGCCTTACTTGGCATTGCTGGTCTTGTTGGCAGCATTGTTCATCTCTAGCTTGCTCAGCCGCTTCCATAACTCGTCTCTTTCCTTCTCCTTCTTTTTCTCCCTAAGAGAATAAGAAAAACACCTTGAGCACAGAGTTCTACGACAATGTCAACCACTATCGTGAAATGGTCCCTCACTGCCAACGTACTGTATCACTCACTGACCGTGGCCACAATTTAGCATCTATACAAATGTAAAAATAATGCTATGTGTTTGAGCTTCCACGGTTATGTTTACATCTTCTATCTGTGAGTGCTTATGTGTCTAGACCTAAGCTCTACATACAAGTCACTGTCCAATCAAATGGACAGGTGGAATACCGGAGGATGTTACTTGAATCCAATATGAAAATCCACAACCACCTTCAGGCAGGTTCAAGAAATGACAACAGTTAAAGTACAGTCCATCATTTGCAATTACCCAAATAATACAAGCAACTGATGACATCATTGTTGAAAAGCATACTTAGTTTAGAGATGGGTATGGGGAATTCTTCTTTCTGGCAAGCTGTCATTTTGAAGAAAACAAAGAAGGCCATCTCCAACGATGCGTAAAAAAACCACATTTTTTGAGAATTGCTGTTAGAAGTGTGCGCACGCATTGACGTGACACATACATGTACACCTGCACGGTTGCTATAATTCGTCAGTTCAGTGCATGACATCGCATAGCTACATTAAAATGAACTTGAGAATGTGTCCCACATGCTGAATTCAGGTGCAATTCATAATATGACTCAGCAACTGTTGATCTGAAATCAAAATCACAGAATACTGTTTTTCTCAGGATAGTCAGTATTCCTTAAGCTGAAACTTCATCAGCTTGTTTAAATACGCACCTTCCTGTAGATGTTAAGTCATTTTGTAGCCTCAAAGGAACATAATGTACAAATGACAAGTGATAGACTTTACTTTTAACTTTAGTTCAATCTACATCGGCCAAATGATGGTGTTGGGGTACGTCACACAGCTGGTTATCGAAAGCCAATTTCATTTATCAGTGAAGACCAAACCACATTCACATGACAATACTTGTGTAAGATGTAATTGACCATGAATGCCGTGATAGTTGCTGCCGACTGCAAAATGTGAGTGTTGATGAGTTTTGCGAAATAGTCCGACAAGGCTGTTCAAGTGTGACTGTACTGTTGAATTACGATTAACTGATCACTGGTTGCACTACAGGTGTTGTCAGACCCTGCCCTTTTGGATGCACCACTCAATAACTGGTCTTACTTTTGCCTCTCTGCCTTGTAACCAGATGTTAGTTCATCAAACAGCTTGCTGTTCATTTCCATAAAGGTCTTGAGTACATTGTACACCAGAGCTACTATAGTCCTGAAAGACAAAAGCACACAAAGTCATGTTTGAGGGTTTCCATTTCAAAACTTACTTTGGCTACTTCACATGAACTGTGTAAAATCAGGCAAATCACCCCCCTTATAAATTGAATCTCGATTTGGGAATCTGGGTCGGTCAAATACTGCTTTTCGAGTCCACATGAGGATTCCAGCGTACCGGTAAGCCATTATCAGTCGAAGGCACTGCCAACTAGACATTGCCATGAAGAGCATTATGTACATTATTTTTCCCATCATGTGCAAAAACAGTTGAGACCCTTGCAGCAAGTGGCAATTCTGCAGAGGGACTTGGCAAATGATAAATTCTTAATACAGGTAATTCTTAATGCAGGTTGCAGGGTTTCCCCCCTTGACAAAAGGGGAGTTTCTTTACAAGGCTTGCAAATGAATTTTAATGTTTCTGGGCACAGACGATAGAGAAAAGACGCTTCAATACAGGCTCACGTCAGCATGACGTTGACCTTGAGGTTAAAAAATGGCGTTTACATATAAGATGACCCACTTGGTGGCACACTGTGGTGCAAATTGTTCCTGCATTTGGCAACTGGATTTCCTTCAACGGTCTATGCGATGCAATCTTTTTAAAAATACAAGCCTTGAAAATGCACAGGCATACATCTCAATTAATCTTCTTTTTTTTTCAATTTTGTTTTGCTCTTTGGTACCTTTATTGGTTTTTATACAAACACCCCAAGTACACAGTCATGGCAAAACTGTGGTATCATCCCAGAAAGACAACATCAATGTACTTTAATTTGTGCATAAATGAATGCTGTGATTCCTTCAAATTGTGGTGGCCTAAAATTTCCTTCATTTTGCGAGTTACTGTTGTCTAGGTGTATAAAGTGCACGTTAATAAACCAGCGAGTAACCCCTCCTCAGAAATGTTTTAAATGAGCAAACTTTTGGTTGCATAATTTGAACAGAGAATGCATAACATGAATACTGTGTTCCCTGACCGGTATCAAAACAACAGGGCCCTTAGGTTCCTGGAAAGGCACAAAAAATTTAACGTTTGAAAAAAAGTGCACTTTAAACTCAAAGAGATGCCAAATAGGTTTTAATACACAGATGAGTACAAAGTTACACAAAAAAGCGGGTGTTAGAAAACTCATCGCTTGGGCCCTTGAAGTCTGTTTAGAACGCGTCAGAAAACAACAAGAAAGATCTTACTGGTTCCAATGATCCTTGGATATCCTATAAAGACTAGGGAACATGATGGGCATGATGCTACTCGAGTTCTCCTCAATCAGACTCAGCACATACTCATTATTCCAGAAGTATAGCGCCCTCTCTGCTACCTGTAAGGTAAGGACCAAAAAGCGTAATGACACCAACTTCTTTGTGAGTCTGTACTGGTATGACATGTTATGACAGATTTTTCATTTTTCTTTTGAACAGCTGTAAGAATAACTCTCATCATACGTGAGGCGACTTCTCCTTTGAAGAAAAAAACCTGTTGAACACATGTACATGTGTGCTCTTTCAATGAGTAATGAAAGGGAATTTTAAAAAACCTAAAGTGACACCACTGAATTATTCAACAAGTGCCAAATTTACCCACACCATAGTCATTGAAACATCCAGAAAAATTTGAACAAAGACTTGGAAAATAGCTTAACTGGTAGGCCAAATGTACAAATATTGAATTCAGTTTTGAAAATGATTAAAATTGAGCTTGTTCTTGTGGTTTTATCATTATTGGAATTACATGTATACATACAGTATGATGTTTCACCTACATTTACATGCACACTTGTGTGAAACCCGTGATTAACTCTACTTGGCATAGTCTTATTTTCACCCAAAATTTGTAACTTTTTATAAAACTTAAAGATTCCATAATTACTTGTCATTAACAAGTGTGACACCATGTATAAATGCTGACTCTAGCAAGGATATTTTGGGCAAGATATGTACAAACAATGTCTAAATGTCATCTTTTCGATACCTCAGGGAAAATTCACCAAGATTAATCAGCCACTCTTGGGTGAGAGTTAAGGCAAGAATGAAGTACACTGAAATTATATGAAGGGGATGACGCACAGAACAAGTTGATGTTTACGGAAGAGGGAGCTGTATCTACGGATTTCCTGTCGTATAGCGTATACAGGTGTATAGTGCAACACTGGACCATTAAGAAGTCAAAGAGTTGAAGAGAGCACATCAATGGCCACCTGACACAAGCGTTCCTTGAAGGGCACTCACCTGAAAGTGGGGACTAGCCACGCACCTGGCAAGCTGTTTGAACAATACCTCCTGGATTTTGACGAACTGGGAAGGCTCTATCACGTCCAGTATCTCCTCAATCTCGCCCAGGAACATGACCTGGATCGAGGGTGAAAAGGCCAACAGGTTCAATTAAGTCAACACACCTGGTGTCAACAGGGATGCTGGTGGGCTCTGACAAGCTAGCAGGAAATATGATCACAGGGAAACATGACCACACTTTCTGTCGTACTTTAGATTGAAAAATAAAGGGGAACAAATACAAACAAAAAAATCCATATGAATCCACATGACAGATCTACATGTCATTACATTCTGTGTAAGGATGCACAAAACCAACATTTACATAATGTATGGTTCTACAGATATGCAGTTATCGTAAGTGTACGGTCTGGATAAAATGCAATATATTTGTACTTGAACAAATAACATCTACCACACCATCACTTACAGGAGTCTGATACTCTTAGTGCGTGACAATTAACAGAGCCAAGTGCAAGTCAAAGAATTGAAAGTAAAGGAAAACTGAATGAAACATTCTTCTGTGGGTTACTGATGGCAGATACTATACTACTCACAAAAAAGTTAAAGACCACTTCCTCTTAACTTGTCATTTTTTCTAAGCAATGAGTGGGGTCTAGTTCTTTCATTTTTGGTTTGTCTGGATGGTGTTCTCATTAGAATAAAAAAAAATTTGTAAAGTTTCAAAACATCAAATGCACATTTTCAGCAGTAAAATATATCACATAAAGTAGAGTATACACAAAATAAAAAGTGGTCTTTAATTTTTTTTGGGGGGGGGATAGTGTATGTTAGTTGTTCATAACTTCATCCATTTGTTAAAATACTTGGTTCAATTGTCAGAATGAAAGATCAAATGTTTCCTAGCAGAGAGGCAGCTTTCTAAATACATGCTAATGGTTTCTTGTAGTGTGCACGTAAACGAATATCTCTCAACACAACCAGCTCGGGAGGGAAAAAAGATTACAGTTCAACATTCAAACACTACTCAAAAAAAGTTAAGGATCACATTTCAGTTTGTGTATACTTTTTATATGAGAAATTTTACTGCTGAAAATGTGCATTTGATGTTTTAACAAACATTTTTTCAATTTTTATTCCAATGAGAACTCCATCTAGACAAACAAAAACCTGAAAGAACTACATGTAGACCCCACTCAGTGCTTGCAAAAAAATTACAAGTGACGAAAAAAAGTGGTCCTTAACTTTTTTTGAGTACTGTATGAAAATGACTTGAAGTAGGCCAGCATAGAATGGTGGGGGGAATGAGACGTTTAACTTCAGATGCAAGGCACTGTGGGTTTCAGTGACTGCACAGAGACAGCTAACGCTGTAATATCAGCCTGTGTTTCAAGCCCCAGGGAGTTTTATTTTTTGACGTGCTGACCTGCATTCTCTGGCAGTCTACAGTTTCAGCAGAGCAGCCTTTCAACATCCGCCCGTTTCCTTCTCAATGTCTTTTTTTTGGTTGAGGTTATTTTTCTCCATTGCATAACCTGAGTTATTTGTGTACAGCCCTACTGTAACCTATCATTGCTTGCATTCTCTGGCTTTCACAAACCACACAAGCTACTGAAGACACATGCAGATGTCTTTGAGTAAAGATGCGTGACAGTCCCACATGTACTGTCTTTTAATTACAAGGCAAATATATATATTTGCATTTCAACAGATGTCAAGCAGTCCAAACTTTTCCACTGGAAATTTTCAACGTTTTTGCATGCTATACCCTGTTTTTACTGTTTATTCATACATGTAGTCTGATCATAATTCACTGTTGAAACAAAATCGCCACTTAGTGCATAGGCAGTGGCACAGAAAGGGGAAACAAAAGTAAAATAAAAATTACCAATGTGACAAAAGCAACAAAATAAAACAGGTGGAAACAGTGCCCACTTTTGTCACAGTGAACAAACAAAAGCTGCTGTACAATACAAAATCTTGACAAACACAGTAGCTATCCTGCAAGTTGTAGAAAGAACCAAACTGGTAATTTAGGAGTACACTCTTTCATTCATCAATGCTGAAAAATCTTACTTCTTTTTGACTACAGGTCTTCGGCCAGTATTTCAACAGCCCCAACGTAACCTGCACAAGAAAAATAAATGAAATAAAACAAAGAAAAAATTGAGTTGAGTTACATGTACAATGTACATGTTCCTCAAATTTAACCTTAAGTTCATCACCTAGATTTGTAGCATTTTGACATTTCCTGATTGATGTCTCTTATTACTCACATATATATATCACAGCGTTGATATTGAATTCCAAGGAAAAAACTGCCAACTGCCAAGGTCCCAAAGGCCCATGAGTTTCTTAAAATATCACAGTTATGACAAATGTTTTCTAATTTGAATATTTTGGGCTATGTTCGGATTTCAGCAATTTTCTCTCTTGAAGTTTATTTTTTGTAAATGTTGTCGATCACGCCAAAGGAGAAGTTTGGGACACCAGAAAGGACTTACATCACATGTACTGTGGTCGTGGGTCAAAGGAAGGTGGAGTCTGACACTGTAGACTTTAATACATTAAAAGGCTGACCTGAACAACCAAACATGGCAGAACTGCATTCTCTATGTGTACATACATGTATGTGTAAATTTACCATGTACATGTAAAAGGCTCAAGGCAAGAAAATGCACAGCAGAAGCACTGTAAGTTATGGGGCACTTTTAAGCATAGGGTACGGTACTTAACCCTTGCTAACACATGACTTTAGTATTGAAATAGCTTCATCTATGCATATACATTGTACCAGTCACATCTTTTTTAAAGGTCAGCTTTGCTCTGAAGAACTTTCAAGAAAAGAGGCACTTTTGCACCTGAAACAGCACTTTCTCTGTAGCAACAAACACTCTTCTTGATCAAAAATTACAAGTCCCATTAAAGGTCAAAATGATGTTTTCCATTTTATTCAGGCTCTCACAAAAGGCTAAAGACCTCTTTCTGAGCACAGGGCAACTGTGTAGTTGAGTGGGGGTGGAGAAAAGTAATCCAAAACCATTATCCCCCCCCCAAAAAAACCCCCACTTACTTGCTCTGTGAGTGTTGCATCTTTCTCTAGGAACTGTACTACACAATATGCCAACTGCGGAAGAAGACAGAGACAAAACAAAATTGAAAACGACTTTAACAGTATATCAAAAGGGAATCAAAATTGACAGATTATAAAGAAAAGGCTGATTATTACAGTCAACAAATAAGAAAATTAGCTTTTCCTCCTTTGAGGATTACATGTAATTTCATCACTGTTTATGTACGGTAAGTACTGCACTCTGCTCATATGTGTACTTTGTGGGTCATGAAACTAAACAGGTAATGTGTAATCCAAAAGTAAGAAGATATTTCCTGTAAGGGAATATTGGTTCATAAAACTGAACTGGACTTTCACTATTTTACATGTCCATGTGACACATCGTTCAGGAAGGTGAAGGATATTTTTTTCACTTGTAGGTCCCAGAAATTAATGTCTTCAACTGAGCTACATGTACAATCACTCTGTAAAATACTAAAACTTTCTGTTGGGCACTGTGACTGGTCCCGTCCAGCCACATGAATGTTGATGTCCCAATATCATTCATGCACAAGGACTGTGTTACTGGTTTACATTGCACGGGCACTAGGAGCCCAAAGGACTCCAGCTGACGTTCCGGAAGTAACCATTTATCAGACCTTTTCTCCAATGACTGATTTGTCATACAAATGTACACAGACGCATACAGCGACTGAAAACAAAATTTTCTCTATTCTCCTGGATATTATCTGCTCCCCTTTAACCATGAACTACATTTACTTCATAAACCGGAGGAGCAGGGTAGGAATATGAAATAACAGGCACAATCGGGTAATACTGGTCAGTGGACACACTGGACAATTCAACAATGTCTCATTCCTTTTGCAACTCAAGTTTGAATATGCATGGTCCCACCCTAAGAAAGCCTCCACATGGTAACCCAAGTCCTCCAAAGGATAAATTATTCTTGCTGATACAATCCCAAGCAATCATCGTGCCAACACGCACACCTCCCTTCTGCATTCAAGACAGGGGCGGCATAGAAACGAAGAGCTCACAAGACAGCCAAACGCACAGAGAGACTGCACGACTGGCTCATTTACGACTCATAGAAATGCCCACTTTGCTGCCCTAAGGCACGGTCAGAAATGCTACATAAATTATGAAGCCCTTCACAGAGCCACAGAAGAGCTTAAGTCTTAATGAAGAGAGAAGCCACTGCCTTTTACCCCTTTTAAAAAATATTACTTATTCATTTTCTTTGAGTATGTCATTTTGAAGGAAGGTGGGATGAATTCAAAAACACTGCTTTAGCTCTAATTTTTGATACTGTTCACTTTTATTATCACTTACTGCTAAGTGTTTTTTGGTGAATTCAATGGCAAAGTTTCTTTGCCAGTGCAATGCTGATTTCAGAGTGACCCTTCTTTTACAGAAAATGCACTTCCATTTACAGTCTGTGGCCTGAATCTGCAAAACTCGCTGCATCCAGGCTCTCTCTGATTTGTCCATTTTTGGTCAGTTTCACCATCAGGGCCAAAATGTGGGAAGCAATTGCAGACTACTCGTGAGCCATTCTCAAATTTCAGTGAGCAGAAATCTGCTGTTGGTCCAGGTTAAATCTCTCTGACCAGATGGCTCCCACACAGATTGACATATAGCTGGTTGTAGCCTGAGCCACATTTAGCCCTTAGCAAATCTTGCACAATGAAAAGAAGTGCAGGAATAGCCAACATTTCTCCCACATGTCTGCACTCCCCAGGATATCACAATGAGCCTTATTTTAAAACAAAGATACATGCACAAAGCAACTCTAATGCACCTGAAAACGAGTAGGTGACAATTTTAATCTACTTTTTGGCTTGGCAACATGATGCAATATTCCTTGTTCCTTTCAAAAGCCAGTCCTCTAGAGACTGCGAAAAATACTGACACCGAGGAAATTGTCCAATGGAACAAGCCCAGGAATACCAGTACTACCAATGATGAAAAAAGTTTAACATATGTACATCTAATATGCTGAACTTCCTTGATTTTCTCTTACATCTTAAACGACAGGATTTTTCCCCAATGCTTTAACTATGGCAACCACACAATGTACGCCCAAATATTAAATGTCCAGACAAAATGAGAATTACTTTTCCAAATTTCATGTCACCTATCGTACTTGTACTTACATGTAGATGAAAAAAAGTGGTAATTTCAGTCAGCATTCTTTTAAATTAAAATTAAGAAAGATCCAATGCGAAGCAAATCACGCACAGTGGCCGGCACGACCTGCACACAAGACAGTCAATAAGAGGCTCAAGCTAGAGGGACTGTTATCTCACCTGGGCATGGTAGAGACTGAGGCATTTGACCTTATGGAGAGGGATGAGAACCTTGATGAGGAACTGCTTGTGCTCATTCTTCAGGGGCAGTGCAAAGCCATTGATTATACTGCGAGTGGAGAAAGGGGGAGGGGGTGGAAATAGGAGAAAAACGGGTCAAGAACAAATAAACAACGTTAGCTACATGTATTGCAGCTGGAATCTTGCTGACGAGATTTCGAGGGGATCTCAAATGTGATGCAGGTACCGCACAGTGTTATGCAAAAGTACACATTTACCGGTAATTCAATGCGAAAGGCAAACATTGATACTTTCACATTATAATAAATGCATGGGTAAACCTCATGAAATGTATATGGTTTGAGTACATGTACATGTAACTGTGTACAAAGGGAAATGCGACGAAAAACTCCCTGTTGCAACGGAAGATTGGATTGGCAAAAAATACCACACAGAATGACATGCAGTTATTACGAAATTTGACCCTTTGTACGTTGGACACCAGCCTTTGATGGCAACAGTGACAGGGTATACATGTACATTGTACATCCCAACATGTATATTTCCAAGCATGGCACAGATAAATCAATGTGTGACTAAGTGATGTATAAGCCTTTTGCGAGTTAACTTTGACCCAAATCTGGTGCACTGAGTTCTTTAAATTCACGTGAACATAGCAACTTGAATTCTCCTTACTAAAACCACTGTTGCTATACCTCGTGATTCGGGGCAAGCTTTTGCTTTATAGTTACATGAGAGACACCTTGCAACAATACACCGTTTTCGATGGATAAGAGGGGCACAAAAGAACCAGTCCATTCCAGAGATGGTGGTCGCTATGCAAAAGCTTGCCCCGAATCACAAGGTATAGCAACACTGTCTTTAGTCTGGGGAATTCAAATCGCTATATTTATGTGCAGTCAGATAACTCAGTGCACCAGATTTTATTCCAATTTAACTCGCGAATAGCTTATTGTGCTTAACAGTGATAGTGTAGTGCAGGCTGTTTTCTTGCTGTGGAAAAAATTGCCAATTTTTCCCGCCTTTATGAAAAACAAACCCATGAACCAAAACTGGACTTCATACATGTCTTAGTTGAAAACTAGTTCTCACAGCAACTGGAACTGTCAATGCAAAACCAGAATCTAAAAAAATTCAAATAGTGGTGTTGGGTTTGTAAACAATGGGCGTTTGTTCATTTTCTTTTTCAGATACAGAGTCTTATTCAGATGTCTTTTGACCCTAGCAGTGACAAGTGTTACATGTAAGTTAACTGTCATTGATTTTTTCCCTTATTTCCTAAAATGATTAGCTTCTCCAACAATTCCAGAGAACTGGGTAACTGTAAGCAGTCATCACAACAAGGCAGCCTGTGCATAGATCAACCCCATGGCCAGCCTCTGCTGTCCCCGATTTGTGTCAATTCCCCCCGGCCAAGTACTTCTTTCACACACGCACACACACACACAGGAATTTAATTTGATCAGACAGAGAACGAAGCAGGCGCGGCTGGCTGTGCAGTTCGCCAAGCTTTAGTATTTGGCAGGAAAGGGAAAGGGGTGTCCCAGTGATATCTTAGCACAGACAGGAGAAAGCTGTTTGCAGAAGGGGATCAAATTCAGGGGGTGGTTTGGACGTTGGGGACATCTTTCATTTCTAGCAGATCAACTGCTGAATTGGCAATGCAACACAAAAGACTGAATCCCATTATTTGCCTTTCTTGCTAGTAAGTCATCTTCTCACTCTTGCCCACAAAAGATAACATGGTCATGCACGTGCCTCATCAGTCCACTTACAATGTGCAAGGATATGCAAGAGTGCTCCGTCACTGTAGTGCAATTCTACTTTTCGAGAGAAACGGGTAAAGAGAATCAGCGTATGACATGCCAGTGCATTGAAAGCCAGGTGCAAAGTCTCGAGAAGTAACATTCAAAACTGCATCGACATCGGCAGCCATTTTTCTTTTGGAACAGGATTTTGCCGACGAGGCTTCGCGGTACATTACAGTCTCAAAAGTGCAGAGGACTGAGGCACTGAATGAGGTACAGTGTAAATGGAAGGTGAAAAAAATAAACCACATCCACATACAAAGCTACATGTAGGTGTGTAAGCAGTCCCTGCCACACGATTCTCTGCAAACATGTTCTGTGCTCTGACAAAATCTACCCATTCGAAAATTCACATTAGACACGTTTGTACTGCCAGAGTGGACAAAGGAAGGAGGGAGGCAGGAAAACCACATCAAAAGATCACATGCTTACCTGCCCAGGATTTCTAGTAATTCTCCTACTCCATTAAAGTGTTCCGTTTCATAAATAAACCTGCAGGGGGTAAAAAAAAAAAAGCAAGAAATGAAATACATGTAGGTACAGGAATCTGTTTGGGAAGGAATGCCACGTTTCAAATCCAGAATACCTCTAAATACAAGAATAAGTCTGATTACAAACCAGTACATGGACTGCGCTATATGCACATTTATGAAAATGGTGGGTACTTTTTTGTCTAGTTCCTCATATCAATGCATACAGGTACCTACAAAACATATATATATAAAGCCTTGGTGCTCCATACAACAATTTTCTCCCACATGCACATTGTGGTAGGCCTTCTCTCCCAAACTGTGATTTCCAATTTGCACACAACATCAAATGACAATGGTTAAAATTTTAATTAATTTTAATTAATTCTGATGAACCATCCTTCCTGCAGAATGAAAATGAAGAGTCTATCGTGTCGAGAACTATTCTGTAAATGTCATTTTCCAATTTAAATTCCAGAAGAGTGGAGTCATGGAAATAGTAACATTTAAATGAAGACAGAAAAAGAATAAAGAGTGCTTTGGCATAAAGGCTAAACCATAGAGTTGTATATAAAAACTAGAGTGCTATCTTACATGTATGTACAAAGTGATGACTGCTGGGTGCATCCATGTTTGTGCACAAACCTATGGTAAACTCTAAATTTTGTATAGCTTTTGTATGGCTATATGCGTGTGCATTCTATGATACGTCAACAAAGCCGATGCACAAATCCCCCCCCCTAAAAAAAACGCACAACCAGTGAATGAGCATTACAATTTGCTCTGCATAAACAATGCCAACACGTGCATGTACCGGTATGTGCTGCAGATAATTTTGCCATGACTTTTTTAATCGGATTTTAGCAGTAGACGCTGCACATTGCATTTAGAGTACATAATTCAATATTTATTTTGTCAGATTTCAGAAGTTCTACAAGCATACACATGGATTCAGAGTGTCTGCAGCCAGCACTGCGTCCAATTTTCTCAGCACAGAGAAAGAAAAGTCAGCCCTCTAGTAATTTAATATAGCTCTATGGGCTAAACACAGTTGCTTTGGGGGCTGAATTAATTCAAGCCCTGCACAATTCAGGTGAGCTGAATATTATTCCCAAAATAAACCTTATTCCAAGATTTGGATTCTGGGGGGTATGAAAAACAAACAACCAGAACCAATGCATACTGAAAAACCTAGGGAATTATAGTCATTTCAATGTCGTGAATTGTTTGTGCGAATGCTGAAAATGCTCTTCTAAAAATGACCACATGGTATTAACCAGCCACGGTAGTTTCCATTTGTTGGCATGAATAACTACCGGTAACAGATCATTCTACAAATAACTGGATATACATGTAGTCAACAATCAAACACGTTGACAAAATACACTGCGTCAATTTCTAGACAATATTTCCATATCTAAATGCCACTGAATAGAAATCAGAAACATGGAATGGGATCGAAAACATCACATTTACAATCAAGTTAAGCAACATGCCAGATTCCCTGGTTCCACGACTCACCTGAGGAAGATGTGGTTGATCTGTTTACGTATGAAGGCGCGCAGGCCCAGGAACTTGCCATAGATGCGGTGAAGCACCGTCTTCAGGAACTCTCTCTCTCGCGGGTCTTCACTGTCAAACAGCTCCAGAAGCTGTGAGGTGGGGGGAGGGGAGAAAGAGAACAAATCCTGTTTTTTTTTCACTGTTGTTATTTCTCTACTTAAAAATACATGTACATGTACATGCATATTTGACTGACTCATCTATATTTTAGAATAGTTTCACATCCAGACACCGACAGGAGGGGCATGTGATGCTTGGCACAAGTTGGCCCGAGGTCAAAGACTTGACTGACGAGCCCTTCTTCTGGCACACACACACACAAGGCTGTTGAACGTCAGTCCACCTTATTCACTTCCACAGTTTCCTTCAAAATCCACCAGGTTTGGGGCAGCTGTTAAGCAGAAAGTTGCAATGTACAAGTACAAAGCCCAAACACTACTGCTGTACTGGCAACCTGAAGTCCAGTGATTAAAAATAAATTTGGCACTGCGGGATTCAGGAGGATTTGGGATGGCTGCCCATTTTCGGAAAACTGTGAAATTGGAAATATGTATACATGTGCATGTAGAAAGAAAAAATCTGTCTAGTCTATTTTAAGTCCATGAAAAAAATTTATAAATACATGTGTAAGCTAGTGGTCTGATACCTTCACATGTACATGTATGGTATATACAACAGCTGCACTGTCATTGCTGTAAACTGAATAAGTTTTTTAAAAGTAGTCCCTTTCCCCATGTTCCCCCTCCCCCCCCCGGAAAAAAATTCTCACCTACACGTACACATACTACCCTACACAGATGCCAAGTAATCGGAAGTAGCACTTTTTTCTTTGGCCCAAGTGATTGAAGATGACGAAGTACATAAGAAATCATCATTCACAGTGCACTATCAATACTCCCTGGAGGTCCGATTTGCAAGCAATCCATCAGACCATCACTCCTCTACTTAATTAGAATATCACTTGGGCCTCAGACTGATGGAGTTATTCATATTACAGGTATCACTCTGGTGTTGATCAATCCACTCTGGGATATGACATCTTTGTGTACTACAGTACCTGTACAGTGTACTACCCCACTGTGGAATTTTTTGCCAAGTGGGGAAGAGCCCCCTGAGGTACCGGTAAAAGTAGGGATAAACTCACAACAGCCGGAAGTGCAGCAGACATTAGAGTACAGCAGACATTAGAAACTCTTCTTAGGACAAAGAAATCTCAACTTTACACAAATGTCTAGGCCAACTTTTTGAACGCATTAAGTGCAGCACGCATGAACTACATGTACATGTATACCGTACATGTATTGATGAACCGGTACACATGTGACCTGTAAGTGCAGGCATACGGTACATGTACAGCATAAAATGTATGTGCAGCTCAATACAGAAGTGAATTCTTTTCTTCACTGATTTAATTAATTACTTGTACGCAGTGAGAAAGTGCTGCAAACAGGAGCTTTTTCATCATCAACAATGTACTTCTGGTTGTGCCAAAACATCCCAATGCACCATTCTATTACACTAATGCACTGTGCATTCTTGCGTTATTAATTGCTTTAGTAAAATAAAACAAAGACAAAATGAATGTTACACATTTAATACAGCATTTCCTGAACCACATTTGCCAGGTATACATGCAACGAGGGCTCGCAAAATTTAAAAAAAATGTAGCTGCCCTTCAGCCAGGGGAGTCTAAAATCTGGTTGCTCAAACTTCATTTCCAGTTGCCCGACAAGGAAGTTTTAGCTACACGTGGTCTCCAAGCTTTCAGTACTTACAGTCATTTTCCTAGTTCCCAATCGCTTGAGATGAATAGGCCTACCCAACTTTTTTCTACTGCTCTACAGCATTACATGCTAAGACGACTTCTCTTTGAAAGGTAAAATAAAAGTCTTGCAGTGCAAACTTTACTCCCAGAAAATTTCAAGGAAAGGAATTCTGGCTAAATTTCCAATTCATGCTTCAACGTTTGTTGACGGTTTGTCAAAAATCACGGGAGCACAAAAAAATCAACACCGGAAAAAATTACAGGTCGGTAGGTCACTCACAACACAAGATTCCATGAACGTTTTTCCTAGTTTCGGATCGCGCATGCAAGTACATACATGCATGTCGTAATATCAACTACACATGTGTAACAGATTTGTATGTGATGTAATGGGTTTGTCAGCAGGCTATCCAGGTTGATGCACTGAAATTCTAATATATAACTAATCCCCTTTAAAATACATTTAAGACATGCTTTACTAGAAAAAACGCTTGTTACAGTGGTTTTGGCCGAGAAATGAAAAATTTTATGTGTAAAAAAATTTTTGAAGCGATCCAGAACTGGCTAAACTGAACCAGAACTAGGAAAAGTGTCGTCGTCACTTTTGTCGATCTTGTAAGACAACTTAAAAGCTCAAAAACTTGGAAATATTTTTGAAGTACCCTCTGCATACATGTACAAGGTAGACCTCTGACCCCATTTCATTGGAATTTGATGATAATTGAGCTGTAATATGACTGAATATAGTTTTTGCAATCCGGAACAAGGAAAACGACTGAATACAGATGCGGCTGCGTTGTTCATGCCAACAATCCAACCGGACGTACCGGTATCACGGTACACGATTTGACCAGACGTACCACAGTGCACCTACCTGAACATGTAAAGTTGTGCAACATCAAGGTTAGGATGTCGATCTTTTTTGCAGTCTTTTTTTGCAATTATTTTTCGGTGCACGGTGCTGAAACTTCTAAAATGACGGGCAAACAAAAATGTTGCCAAAAACAGGTGCTTGCCCACTGGGCTGGCAGCCTGGAACATTTGGTTGCCCGACAAAATATTTTGGTTGTCCCAGGACGTCAGACTACCAATTCTGCGAGCCCTGCATGTACATGTACACATACATGGCGTGATGCATGGTGTAATTCTAGGGAGAATATTTTGAGGGATTTTTTTCTCAGTAAAACTGAAACACTGCTTTTAGAAATTTACATGTTTACCTACCTAGAAACTGTTACTATCGCGATCATTATCAGGCTTGTTTAATCCACATGCATATGTAACAGACATGTAAACAGCCTTTCTTTATGACCATAACCATTCAACTTTCCAAGGGGGAAGGGCAACCTGAGACCATAAAAGAAAGAGCTGGATAGCTCATTAGGTGAAGTGCTCGGTGTCCCTGACTCACAAGCTTTTTCCAATGGTTGAAGGTTCCAATCCCAACCTGGCCCATTTTTTTATTCATCTTTACAATGATTATGCCACAGCCTAAATGTAGTCAGTTTCCATGTACATGTAGTACCGGTATATCAGGTGACAATCACTGAAGTACACCTACATGCACATGTATGTGTACGTGTACGCATAAACTAGGCCACTAGTATGCATGCGCATTACATGCCAGGGTGTACACCGTACATGCATTAGGCACCGTACATGTAAATGCACTAGTACATGTACAGGTACGTTCACAAGGGCCAGTATGCAATGACGTGTCAAATGGATTTCTCACAATTCAAGTTGTGGATCTTGAATGCAGTCGTTTAAAGTAAAAGGCCATGCATGACACTAACTTGCTCACTCAAGACTCTTGCTCCAAAATACATGTAGACAAATCTGGTGAAAAGGATTAGAAGCCATTACTGTGGAACCATCCTGTTCGCATGCAGGTGGTACGCGCGCATTCCTGTCTGACCAGTAGGGTGTCGTGACCTGCCTATGCGGGCACGTTTAAGACAAGTGCGTGAGTACGATGGCCCCTTAAGAATCGCATCTCCATGGATTTGTCCACAGCCTAAATCCTCGAATGCAAAGGCAAATATTCTCCAAACACAAAGCCCTGTTCTATTTTGGCATATGAAAGGAAAATCAAGAAAGATAAAAACACTGCCACGGGTAATGTTTTCAAAGTTTTTTGATGGAACGTGTTAGCAAACGGAGGGTTCCAAAATCCACCGACTTCCTGAGCAAACCTGCCTGGCAGCGCATTGCTATGGAGACGTAATTTCTTGAGCATGCTGGGTACCCGAGTGATTAGGCCGCCTAATTCAATAAAGCGCAAGTGTATCTATTGCTCATTTGAGCATGTTCAAGTGCACACGTATGCACTTTTGCCCCGTGGCCCTACAGCTAATTGGGAAGCAGTGTCCGTGGTAGAACACGGAATAGAAAAAAAAAGCCAAATGTGTATCCAGTAGGGGGTTGCGGAGTAGACGGGGCCTCAGGTGAAAGTCAAGATTTCCCCACGCTTCGTCCAGGCTTTAATCTTTAAGACAACAAAATCACTGACTTACTGGCTGTCACCAAAAATGGCCTCACCACAAAAGTAGATATAGTAGGTGCAGAAATATACTTCATGTGAAAGATTTTTTTAAAGACTCATGTATTTAACATAAAACATAAGGAATCATCAGCCAAGAAGTACATGTACTTGTACCAGTAGAGCACCATTAGTACAAAGAGACTAAGAGCTAAAGTGACACATTAAATGTCTTACAAAAGGAACGATACACGTTCATGCAATCGCTGTCGGTATCCTGAATATGTAAATCACTGGCAGACTTTTGATGAAAAGAGTTGCTTTCTGAGACACTGAAATAACCACTAGACCACTGGGAACTTCTTCATGCCGACCAACAGGTCTGCATTTTAATGGTTCAACTCGGCCCTGCAATCACAGGGGTATTTTACGGGCTCTTCCTCACGCTATCCAGCCGCCCCTTCAAAGGTTACTGACACATTATACACAGGAGTCCGCTCTCCCTGGAACTCTTAAATTAGATGAGCTCTGTGAAGGAGAAACTGGAATAACTCCCCGGCGACATGCGGGGAACCAAGGAGAAGCTGGGGTGATGGAATCAATTACAACAGTTGGCTTCCTGCCGAAGTTGATGTGGTGGGAGAGGCTGGAATTCGGCGTGGACGAGCATTAGGCAAGGAATTGCATATTGGCTGACAAGAATATGCGCACACTTTTCATGTACATGTACACTTTACATGTACAATGTATGCACATGTACATGCCAGGGTGTTACAAAATGTACGACAATGGAGAAAGAAGGACATCCAACCACTGTATCTTGCTACCAGTACATGTACACTGTATATTAAAAAAAAATCACAATGCCCATACATGTTACTTCACATGACTATCACTGGCCTCCAACTAGAAAGTCGTAACTCTCCCAAACCCCTTCAAAATCCAGCAAGAAATTTTGGCTTGGCTGCCTTCAACCGTACACAACATCTCACAGCAGAGAGAGATAGGGGGAAGGAGAGATTCCCCCTCCCCGAACTTGGCCATCACATCCCCAATCTTTATGAACCAGACATGAATGTACATGTATATGTACAGAAGCTCATGAGTAAATTTCTGTGTGAAGTTTGGATTCAAGCCATTATACAGTTTAGTCGTTACGGTCACTTGAAGTTCATGGCCTCACATGTGTCTGACCCTGTGCACTGAGTATGACTATGGGTAAAGAATGCATTATTGGCTGAACCGTCTAAAATAAAAAGGCTATTTCACGAAAACAGTACCGCTACATGTATGTCTGATTTTCATACAACTGGTCTCAAAAACAACTGTAAGACAACAATAAAAAACCTCCTAAAGGCTCAGCTTAAGGGAAAAATGCACTGTGATAATATCAGAGAAAATGCCGCCGGGGGGGGGACTCTTTCAGATTTTAAAAAGGCCTTTTTCTTTCAATAAAAGTGAAAAAGTTTTTAGACTAGAAGCCTGTTGACACTAGACATTCCCTAACATTGCAGGGATGAGGCCACTTCACCCTCATTCCAGATTTCCAAGGGACATCAAGACTACCAGTGAGACGGAAATGAAGATGTATGTTCTGTTGGCGGCAGGAACTGATGAATTTCACTTTCTCTTTCGCAGGAAAGCTTGGCAGCAAACCCATCAGTCACTTTCGATTACGTACATGTAGATGTACCAGGGTAGGAGCCACATGTTACCAGAATATTTGATGTGGTACAGTGTATGCAAATTTGGTAACGTATACAGAGCATATGCAGTGACCTGTAATTCATCACAATGCACCTAGTGTCCCTTTAAGCTCATTTTCAATGTGTTTTGCCATTATGACGGATGTTTAGATGTCTTTCTGGTTCCACATTAATGTAAATTTCCATATTCATGAGCGACTGTAATGTCATTTCTCTGCCAAGGAGCTTCAATTTACAGTTAATTAAGCAAAAAAAGAGGCTGGAATTTGGGGTCATTTGCCATCATACATGTAAGTACATGGTAATAACCTAAGGAGGAATCTTTTCTCGCAAATTCTTGCAAGGGTTAAATTTGGGGTTCACAGTTTGACGAAAAAATTCCTATCTTTAATATAGCTGTCTTATGGGATTTATGACTCCAGACTCATGAATGCTGTGCGTCAGGGAAGGCTCCTCTAACTACACCACCAATTACACAAAATACCTGCCCCTTAATGGTTGCTGACGTAATACTTCTGCCACTGGCAGGTGAGGCGGGAAGAGAGTCTTCCTGACAGACAGTGATCATAATTATATGCCTGGCTTCGTTTGTCCCAAACAGCTAGTCGGCACACTTACGTACACACAGCACTTTTTTCCCCCAACCACACCTGGAATTTAAAGGTGCTTACCTGCATAACAAATTTTTGGTCGATGAATTTCTTTGCTATGGTGGGCTGGAACTCTGGTGATTCCAGGAATCTTAGGAAAAATTCGTAGACAATCTGTATCGGAGTTGAAAGAGAGCGATGGAAGAGTCCCCTTTAAAACTTGCATGAAATTTAAATCTGTTTAGAATTGAAAATCACAACACATACATGTACAAGCACATGCGAACATACTGATATTACATTCATTTTGAATACACATACACTGTACATGTACTGGCAGTGTTTCAACTTGCATTGATACAGTTCTCTCAGAATCCAATATATGAGTTTACAGGTACATGAAGTACATGTACTGGTATATACATGTACATGTAGAAACTATTTCTGACGGAAATACACCCACATGTATATACACCCGTATGTGTACATGTACATCTGAATTTCCTTGTATGAAAATAAAGGTACATGTACAGTGGAAAACATTTGCATGAAATATGATGACTAAGTTTTAAAGACATTTATACGATCCATAACACTATTTTTATGGTAAATACATGTACATGTAACTTTGTGTGCAAGATCCTTAAACACAGTAAATGACAGCCACTTGTAGCAATTGAGACGGAGTGAGGAATGCAAGAAATACAGACCCCATTTGTGCAACGTGGTTGAAAAGGCGTTCCAACTTTGCTTTGTTCCCCACCTTACACCCACAGTTCCTGGGTTTCTAATGCAGCTCCATGCATTTTGGACATTTGGTACAAAAAGTGTGAAACACTTCCACAGTGCTTATGGGGAGCTCTCCACAGCAGCAGCTCTCAATTCAACTGGGCTGCAGCAGTGTCTGGTCATGTGCCAAATACAGACAAATGAGCCATACATGCACACGTACATGTACATGTACATGCACAGTGTACTTTAATAAAGGTTCCATGACCTGTGTGGATGAAAGGTTGGCATCAAAGCACACCAGACACTTATTGACATGTACAGACTACAGTATACCTTCAACAATGCACTCACATGTAAGTGTACGTCAGTGGTTAAAAGCATAACGTACACTTGTTGTAAAATTATGTATTTGCCTTATCATATGTCAGCCATATTGAAGTGAGTCTATGCCAGCAATGAAGATTTAAAAGTATACATGCACATGTATTAACCACAAAAGAATGTAGCACATCAGAAATGCAATTCTGTACATGATTAATTATAATTTGTGGGTTATCTATAGTGTACGTACCTGCAAGTGTGGCCATGATGCCTCTAATGTAGGATCGTCTTCCTCAGGATCAAAGTCGGGGTTTTCACTAGGTGGCAGTGTGCGGAAGATATTACATGTTATCTGCAAGAAAAGAGAAACACTAGTCATTGAGAACAAAAAGATATTTGAAAGATTGGAATCTGTTTTTTTCATGAACCTCTTACTGCTTTAACAGGCAAGACAGGTATGCTTCTGCTGCGACTCAACCAGGACATGTACAGATACAAGGGTGTAACAATTCAACGTGGTAGCGATGATCACGATACTCAAAAACTACGATACGGCATCGTGGAAACCTGTGTATCATCACGACACTTGAAGGGAGGGGCTAAAAGGTTATCATCACTGATGATATTAAGTTGAAAATATGTGCTTGGAAATAAAAATGACAAAACAAAGCAACCGTTTGCAAAATGATATTTTGGTCATTAGGCTTCATAGAACGGTTCAACCACAGCCCGTCCACGAGTAAAAATGGGTTATGAAAGGAAAGAGTCCTTTATGCATGTCGCTGCATCTGGAGCCACACAGCGTGTACATGTACCACTACCTGTAAAATGGTCAAATTATGTATGATTGTGTTGAAACAAAAGTGGGTTTACTCAGACATTTTGGTTGTTCAAATGTGCATTGCCACTTGGACTTTTTACAATGGTGGCATGTGAATGGATGGAAAAATGTGGCATGGCACGTGCTAGTGTCTGAAGAGTGCATTTGAGTGCTACATGTACACATGGTATGCCCGTACATGTACAGTGTACAATGCTACATGTACCATACATGTACTGTACGTACATGTACTGTACAGTGGTTATTATGTAAAATCCCCTCTATTTCTTCAACGCTATCATAGCTGGTGTAACTGCCATGAAACCCAATCACCTTTTCTCACAGTTTTGATAAATCTGCAACAATATTCTTGGGGCAAATGATAACAACTGCCTCAAGGGGAAATGTGCAAAAGCCTACTACCGGTACAACCCCCCAAAAAAGCAATGTGTACACACATGTATTGGAACATCACAGGATCAGGAAACCCTTCTTCAAACAAGGCATTTGACGGTGCACTCCTTAAAGTTTTACAGAGTGCTGATGTTCCAGTTGGTTCCGGGGCCCTGTAAAGCTACATATACATGTACTGCGGCTCTATGGACATCTTCTGAGACCTTTTTAAAGTTACCATGAGTACGATGGAAGTTATATCCAGTAGCCAAATACATGTACACGTAGCCATATGAAAAAGCTAAGACTTACTTTTAAAATTTCATCATGTTTGCTGTTCCATGGATACACACATACATGTATGTACATTCTCCTTTCCGCCCCCCTTTGGGTAGCATTTGTGTAGAGTGCCAATAAACCCCAAAATCATTGTGAGAGACAAGAGTACAGGTGAATCTGTTTTTTTACCCTCTAGATCAGCATGGGGTCACTGAGTGCTGATTCTTACCTCTGATTGGTCGGTGGTTACTGTTTCAAAGGCACATGAACAGTGTTGTAGTCAATGGGGAAATACATGTACATGTACCGCTACGTCTGAATTACTGTCCTAACACTTCACTCTTTATGTTACAGATTTTAAAATTCACTAGTTTAAATAGAAAAAACATCCCCGTTATACCAACAAAAAAAGTAGTATTCATTTTTTATTGCTTCAAAACGAATTCAAAAACGAGTGAAACATAATTCCTCATACAAATTGAATAAAGGGCTCTCCCCCTCCCTTGCCTGACATGTGGTGCGATACACGTAGGTATGGGTGGAACAGATTCCAATCAAGAGTACATGTATGTGAATCATCTGAAACTTCGGATCTACATTAAAAAATAAAGCTCACTGGCTGGTCTTTTCTGAGTTCATTGATGGTGAGGCATGCTTAACCATAACAGAGGTTAAATAAAGAAGGTAAAATGCATGTGCATCTTTCAGTCTGCATTAATGTTACATGTACATGTACCGTACACGAATGCGGGCAATGGAGCATAATTTCAGAGCCAGAAAATACATGCATGCTTGCTCAGATATTTATTTTTAACTGTATGAACACGCTTTACACGTATTTTGTTTTTCATGCAATATGTATTGTGATACGTACATGTACATGTACATGTATTGTAGTGCAACCCATGCATGTACTGTATCTACAAAAATGTAAGTGATATCGTTGTACCCCTATCACATGAATGTACATGTACCCCTAAGTATCACATGTCGATTTGATATTGACTAGAAGTATGGTACATGTACAGCTTTGTCCACAATGTACATGTACATTTGCATGCATACGTGGTCTACATGTAGGTACAGACACACACAATGACGGAGGGTTAAAAGTATACAAACTGTGAACAGATGAAATGTACCAAATGAAATCTGTCCGAGTCTGGGAAATAATGTAAAATGCATACACATCACAGTAACTTGAATAGGACAGACTGCACTTTGTGCATGACAACTTTCATTGGATTAGGAGATTATTGCTTGCAAGCATTCGCTCTGACACAATTACCAATTTCAGCAAACGATCATGGGGCACGCAATGCACTGTATCTTGATTAAAGCCCCAAAGGTTGCTAGGCATCAACAAATGAAATGAATAATGTGAAAGAGGCTGCACACACATTTATATCAGAGTGGTATTAACTTTCCAATCATCTCAAAATGAGTGATAAATAATTAAAACCTACATGTACATACCTGGTAGGCATGCATACGTCTGTACAAGGTATCGGTACAATGCACATGTACATGATACATGTGCTGGTATGTGCACGCAGACAGCAAACTGCATGCATCAAACTGCCTTCATGCATGGACATGTACATGTACATGTATGTACATGTACACGTAGCTTGAATGTTGTAAGCCAATAAACAGGTATAAAAAGCCTGCTCAGACCAAACCACGATCTGCGTGAAATTTCAGGGATCAAAATATCGTACCCACTGGACTGGTGGACCAAGGCCAGTGATTTTGGCGTCAGACTTACTGCCTCAAGATACAGGTAGTAGAAGCCAAGCGGTCGTGTTTTTCTGAAAATTTTTAGTATGAATCATTCAGAAGTTTTTAACAGTAAAAGAGAAATTGTGCAAGCGTTATTCAAGCAGTCAGCTACATGTAACAGATTAATTAATCATATTGGGCATTGTCAGTTCAGTCAATCGAAATTGTGAAAATTATGCCTTCCTTTCAAAGGCACAAAAATATTTTTTTCACTCAGGAGAGTTGAAAAACCAAGAATGCACTTGTCATTTTGAGAGGATGAAAATACATACATGGTCTGCCAAGATCTGCTGGAAAAATCTGTGTAACATGGAGAAACATTCTCAACTACACGTACACAATGTGCATGTTATGTACCATTTTACATGTACACTCATTAACTCTTGAAGCCTTTAACCGGTGGGAAAATTTCAAAAAATGGTGGCATCACTGTCAGCTCAATGGTACTGTTTGCCGTCACAGATAATTATGACTGATGTGAGGCTTTAGTCAGGCCAGTGGAATGATTGAGGACCACAGCCCAATGCATACTGGAAGAGACAGAAAAGCTCCAGACGACAGACAGACTGATTGGATGCAGCAACCAATAGGCAGAAGGGCCTGATTCCATTCATTCCAGCTGGTTTATAATTCAATACTTGGCCCGGTCTGGATGGATCTGCCATGTCTGCACGACCTACTTCATGTACAATGAACACGTACATGTATGTATGCGCTTGGTGGCAATGTACATGTACAATGTACTGTATGTTTATGTAAGTTGTAATGTCCACAGAATTGTGACTCACTGAGCAACTTTGTGATTGAAATCATTTCTTGCAATACCTGTGTCTGTTCATATACAAAAAATTTGCCGTATTGTGGAACATCTCAGTGTGTCCTCTCCTTTGTAAAATGTAGGGTACCATGTCCCAAAGCAGTGAACAAATGTTAAACATAAATGTGGTGCACATGCACCGGTCTGTGTAGGCCTCGTTTCCAGGTTGGGAAAGCAAAATTGTGAGCTCCAAATTTACATGTTAACGGTACCAGTCCTGTACACATGTAGCCAGGCATTTGCATGTTATTGTGTGCACTTGTTTCTGGCTAACATTTCAACATCAATTTAATGGGTCAATGCACTTTCCTGAAATGCCAATCCTTAGCCCCCACATTCCATGATCAATCTCTCCATATCGGTGCACAAACACTGCAACATGTCTCTGTACATGTACATACATGTACATTGTACTAGGGCATACATGTAGATAATGTACATGTACATTATATACTGTAGGTGCTCTGTGTATTGCCTTGTGATGTGATTTGGATTTCATACAGGCCCCAATCTTAAGTAGGAGTGTTGAGCTACAGTATACTGTCAGAATGAATTGCCGGGCACTATCCATCAATCAATCGAGATTTAAATTGGGTTAATGGTAAACTTACATACACATACATGTACAGCCATAGCTTCAATGAAGATCAAGATGTGTTTTTCGATTTATAAATGTACCATATTTTTCAAATGATCCCCTCATTCATAATGCATATAACTATTAGACAGATCATGACAATCAGTTTGCATCTAAAAAAATTCTAGTGACCCAATGACCAGAGATGCCGATAAATCTGTAATCAGACTGCATGACGGAGCAGAAGAATCCCAATAAACTGAATGGTTCATACTGGTACATGTAGTTCACGAAATTACCTCGTCTCTGAATGATATCGGGTTGCATGTGGTCGTACTGTATGTCACATTTGCGAAATCCCTGTGTGTGCCCAGATTCCCAAAGTCTTGAGGCTACTGTGTTCGTTTGCTTTCCAAGAAGCAAACCGAGCCCTGGTTTGATGTATCGATCGCTCGGTTTGGCATCCTGAAGGAAACGGACATTGCGGGGGAAGGAATTCAGGTTGGTATAGTGGCTCTTTCCTTGCCTTTCAACCCGATGGCCTGGGTTCAAACCCCACCTACATGTATGTAGGTCGATATATGGATGTACGTTTTCACTCCCCACCTGATTCTGTGGGCATTTCCCTGGGAATGTTTACGCAATTGTTTTCCTACCACCTTTTCTTTGTTGTCTTCTGAGGGTTCCAAATAATCAGCTTTCACTTAATGGGTTACCCTCATTAAAGAAAAAATGGTAACAAAAAGTTGGAAAATGTTAGGAGGACTCCTGTTGATATCATCAGGGAAGGATTCTCTTCAAGGCCTTGAACCCCAAAAGTACCACGAGTTCCAGTGACTTCAATTGTGACTCATTTTGTTTGGCTGGGTCAAACTGCTGAGATTTCGGATGTTTTGACTCTCCCATCCCCAATGCATGGATCTTTGGGTTACATCTCCCATGGTTGCTTTGCAATAGTCTCACATCACAACAAACAATTGTAACACATCCCTATGATAACTCTGACCAGGAGGGGAGTCAAGTAGGAGAAAGAGGAGAGGAGATGGTCCCAATGGCAAAAGTCCACAAGAAGGCGAGGTTCCTTACCATATGAATGACTTCTGGATACAGCTCTTCTGAGAGCACCCCTCTTTCGGTGGTGATGTAGTCAACCAGCTCATTTAGACTCGCCCTCTTGATCTCCTTGCCCTTCAGGTCAGACACTGCGTCCATGAAGTCAAACACAAAGCTGCACTGCCCTAGCTTCTTCACCACTAGGTCGTGCTTCTCCGGGTGGGGTGTGTCTGTCGAAGGGAGCAGAGGGTAATAGGTTAGCATTTCGTAGGGGAGGAGCATGGCTGGGGGCGGTTTTCTAATCAGTCCAGGATCCAGTAGGCTATTCAAGATCATGGTGTTGGACATTGTAGTACACAGTAGTGGCAAACCCCTCAACAAGACATAAAAAGTCTAACAGTGAGGTATTACAATACTGAGGTAAGGCCTGGCTCTGACAGTTCACATACATGAAGCGCCACAGCACTGACCATGTTCAGGACAAGGCACTGATACGACTGACTTTCGTGGAGTCCTTACTGGGACTGTTTCCGATTTGGACCGGGCAACCTGCCAAAGTTCATTATGCAGGGCCTAAGCGGCAGGAGGTTGGTGCTTGTGGGACAGGTCCCTCCCCGAGATTAGCCAAGGTTTGACAGGAAAGAGCTTAATCTTGGACCTGAAATAGCTAGGCTAATTTTAGCAGCCTGGGGAAAAAAGGTCCTTGCTGAAGGTGATAAGAAAATGGTTGAACTTCTGTGTTTTTGTGTGTGAACACTTTATTCCACTGCATGATTTTTCCCCTCCTAATACTAAAGGTTATCAAGTCATCTCACAATTTTTTTCTTCAGGATGCATCTAATTGAAACTGCTTCAGATAGCACTGTGGGTATAAATAGGCCATGACATCATCCCTGGTGGTTAAAATATCTCCACTTCCCCACAACTTACTGTATTTTTCCTTTCAGGTGTAGAGCTCATACACGTTCATGTGCATACAAAACTAACTTGCATTTCAAACAGGAATGAGTTTCAAGTATACATACATGTATACTACGTTCTTTGTCGTTTTAAACAACATACAAACAAAATTCCCAATCTCAATGGCCACAGGCCATCAGCATCTTTGTGTGTTTCTGATGACAGTAAAATTAACATTGGAATTCAGCCTTGTTTAGTCTGCCAACAAAATTATCTCAAGACAGCCTAAAAGTGGTTGGTTTAATGTAACATGTATCAGTATATATGTACATGTACACAACGCATTCAGGTGTACAAACAAATAATTTCACCCGTTTTGGTTTCATTTTAATTTCCTTAATGACCAATTCTGATTACTTTGACAAGTGTCCTACATGTATATTCTCCCACCCAGATCCAAAAATGCATTAAATAGAACTTTTTACCTTATATTATACTGACCTCAAAGGGTAAACGGGTAAGGTTGGACAGTGCTTAAATTACCTTTCCTTAAAACTCCATCCATGGTACATGTACCTGCTTGTGTTTGAGTGTGGTTGTAATGTTTGTAAATAACTGTTCAATACTAAAAAAAAAAAATCCCTAGATGACAGGCCTGTTTAAGCTGCAGCCAGCTGCACATACACGTAAATGTCCCAGCCCAGAATTGGCATATGTCCTGAAACTACCAGTACAACAGAACAATCCATGCTAGGCTCCGTTCTGGTTTCTGCCACTTTTTTCCTGGTGCAAAAATGCTTGAATCCGATCATGCCGTATGTCAAAAGGCTAAACCACCCAATTAAAGTTCAAATGACTATTTTTATACTGCAAAAAAAAAAAGCGTCTGAGCACATACACTGTACCCTCTATGGCGTTAAATGTGCGTGTACATGTATACAATTTATAGCTTATTCACTTCGTGTATCAGATGTTGTCTGTAGATACATGCACCCATGCATGGAAAAGCTAAGATGACTTACAAAGTTCACGAAGCGACGGAAACAATTTTTCATACTCAATGCAGGGTTGAAGGCAAGGTACCGCTACATGTAAATCTGACAAAATCGTTGGTGAAAAAAAAAATTGCCCCAAAGCTTTACATGGGATGCACGTTCATGTTTGCATCTGTACTGGCTGCAAGGCCTGCAGAACAATGTTCAGTGCGATACAATGCATGTATTACACAGAAGGGAAAAGTATGCCCGAAGAACATACATTACATGCATTAGGCAAGCGCCAGTGCCACATGTACTGTACATATGCAGCAGGCACTTGCCATGGACTGTCAGACTCTTCTTGCACACTCATGCCACAGGCCTCAGAATAACCCCTGGGCTTTCATCACAGATTCCTGCCCACAATATGAGACGGGCCCAGCTCAGGTAGAGATCAATAGCACTGAAAGGTCAACTTCAGCTGGGTAAAATACCGGTAAAAGTGTGCTCACAATGTCTGAGGAGACAGTCATCTTGCATGTATGACAGCTAACTTCCAATTGACCAAGGGGAGCCTTAATCATGTATTCAGAAGAATGTAAGATCTAACATGAAGGGAATCAGAGTTTACGCTCCCTTTGCCAAGAGATCAAGCACTGCATATAAGAAAACTGGCATGATAATAATGAATTTAGAAAGTATTATGTACAAACTGTACACGGCTTAGAACGTTTAAATACATACGAAAATGTATAAAAAAAAGTCATAGATACCGGTAGTGCATTGATCACGTGTTAAGCCATAAGCAAGCATGAACATTTACAACTGAGTGAACTGCCTATGTTGCCGGGCTTCAAAAAATGATGGATAGTGTTGATCTTTCCCAGTTGATGTGTCCTGCCCACTTTGTTGTAATTGTATAACTTTGGGTACGAGGATGGATAACAACGCTGGTGCTACGCATTACTCATTGTAGATGTGCTGTGTGGGGGACAGTGAAGCACTGTCTGCCTTCGCATGTGCTGTTCTCCAATCTGACCATGACTGAGACCAGCGGGTTACTTGTACATGTACATACCGGTATCAGACCACTGTTGGTGTGCCCAGCTGTGTTCGTGGAACACGAATAGCATGCTCTAATCACTATTTCTGCTGCGACAGCCATTAATGTTTAATACAAATGCTCATGTTGCTGTAGCTTCTAAATCTGCTCTTCAATCTTGCCAGTATTATTTTTCACCGGAATTTTATGTAAATAATGTCTTGAAATTCAACCAGTCAACAAAAAAAACCCCAGTGCTTTACGACCCCCACGTTTCTCTGTAGACCAGTTTACAATGTATTATAAATCCTAGATTTCTCCTTCAAAAAAAAAAAGAAAAGAAAAAAATCAACAAAAGACACCACAATCAATTTCAAGTTTCCTTGTACATGTACATGTAATTCAAAATCTAATTAGTGTTTCAATTTGTCAAAGTGTTTTAATTTATCTTGCAATAAACATTGCACTGAACAAGTACCGGTACATGTGCATTCCTTTAGAACAGATTTTTCTCACTCTCTAAACCTTTTCCATTGTAAATGCAATTGATCAATACTCATGCAAGATAAAAGGACATATACAAGTAGTGTTACAATGTACATGTTACCTACATGTAGATACTAATATGTACATGTACACGGACACGTTACATGCATGTACAAGGCAGAGTTTCCCCTGTCTATTCAACTGTGAGACAGCCCACTTCACTTATTTTAGTGACCTCCTCAGCCTTTCTGTTGAAGGTTACCGCCTCTCTCTTAAAATGGGAAAAAAAAAACAGAGGGAACAAAATTTGGAACACATGTAGATCAGTATCAGATTATGCAGACTGGTAAAGAGGACCACAGATATATTTATATAGTTATATTTATTTATAAGATACATGTACATTTATTTCAGATGGGAGAATTGTGAGTAAATATACTGTTAGATTAAGTAAAATTTATTTAAAAGCCCTTGTTGGAAAAACTCGCTTTTGTTGTGGGCACTACAATTTAGGTGAAATTCGTTTGGCCACCTCATGCCTGAACTTATCAGCAACCCAGGGGAAACCCTTGAACAAGGGTATCAAGACAGAAAAAATGTAACAGTTCCGGTTTTGGAATGAATCAATAAGAAAAAAGCAGGGCAATCATGCATAAAATCTACATAAAGCGCACATACAACAAAAATCAATTCAAGAAAATATTCCAACTTGGGTCATTCCTTCCTCAGCCCATGTACAGTGCCTGTACATGCATCGCCTGTGTGAACACAAACTTTAAAAACAAAAACAAAAAAACCACTGTGATGGAGGTGAGCAGCTTTCTCAGTTTTGCAAACACCCAGCCCCGGCTGACTCTCAAACGGTAGGAGATTGGTACAACTACATGTACTTCCAAATTGAGCCTTCCCTCCAAAAGTTTTTGATGCATAAGTGTTTGACTAGTTGCTCTATGGGCTGTGCACATATACATGTACATGTAATTGTAACACATGTATAAGCTACAGCAGCTGATTTCAGGAAGGAGTGCAGTTTCAAGATATAGATCTAAACTGAAATATCTATGAGCCTTGAAGGATGTGAGAATTATCTCCCATTAGCGTCCACTATCCCCCACTGATCCCGGCGGCTTGAAACAAGCTAAGTAAGATTGCCACTAATGACATGAATGAGAATGAGGTGGCTTTGGAAATGGATCAGGCTTTTGTAGCATCCCGCAGATGCTTGGATGATAAATATGCACATGTACATGTACGTGCAGCTGAGACTGCAGTGTTGGATTGTATTCAATTCTAGAGATGAGCTTCCTTTGGTTTTGTGGGGGGATGTAATTTGATTAGAAAATGTATTATTATCAGCATGCCTGGCTTGCAAACTATTGGGAATTGGCCCTGTCATGCAAGCTACCTGAATGGTACTGGCACTTGATGTTAGGAGAAATGTACACAAACGCACAATGTGATGTAGTGGTAGGTACCGTAACTTCATGAACATGAACAAAATCACTTGCTTTTACATGTAAATGTATTTATGCATATAGGTCAGAGAAACTAAATTTTCTTTAATCTTTGGTATAAAAAGCCATCTCAGCCTGATCAAAAGGTTGGTAGGTTCAATAAATTTCAAATGCAATCACTTCCACACCACTGGCAAGTGCCATTCTCGGGAGGCTTGACAACTCCTTGGTACTCGCATCAACTGATCAATAAATAATGTATAACCACAGTGGATTAGTGCACTGTGTTGTGTCTGTTGTGAATACAAGCCAATTATGAAATCATGCAGACAAGTGGAAGCAACTCCACTGAACGATGAACTCACTGGTGC